GTCAGGGAGTGACAGAGCAGGAGGTCAGGGAGTGACAGAGCAGGAGGTCAGGGAGTGACAGAGCAGGAGGTCAGGGAGTAACAGGATGGAGGTCAGGGAGTAACAGAGCAGGAGGTCAGGGAGTAACAGGATGGAGGTCAGGGAGTAACAGGATGGAGGTCAGGGAGTAACAGGATGGAGGAGGTGAAGGAGGCTCAGCTCAGTGACCATCAGCAGGGTGAACATGGTCTGTCCAACGTTGAATCCGTGTCTCCAGTTGTGGTAGGTGATCTTCCTGTAGCCTTTACTGAGAGAGTACATGAATCTGACCAAGACCTGAACAAACAAACAAACAAACAAACAAACAAACAAACAAACAAACAAACAAACAAACATGTTACTGCTCAGGTTTGTGTTAATAAGACAAGAGCTGTTAAAGAAAAATAAGAATTTGTCTAAAAACACATCTCTTGTGGATCAGACCAACCAAATTCTTATCCACCCTTAGGAAGGAGGGTAAGAKTGATTTGCACGTGAGTTCTGCTCACATAAACCAAACAGATAAAGAGAAACAATAGATGCAGCTTTAATTCAACAGTGAACTTTCCTACTTCTGCAGCTTGTTTCCTGCATGGTTCAGACTAACGGTCAGTAATGATCACTCTGCTCTTCATGATGCTGGACSTCAGTAAATCTCAAACACTGCAGAGTTACTTTTCCAACAGAGCCACAATGTCAGAGGCAGAACCTGAGCTTTGTTACCACACTTTACAATGTAAAAACCCTGTAAACTCAGTGAACCAGTGAGTGAATCAATGAGTGATCCAGTGAGTGAACCAGTGAGTGAACCAATGAGTGAACTAGTGAGTGAACCAGTGAGTGATCCAGTGAGTGAACTAGTGAGTGAACCAGTGAGTGAGCCAGTGAGTGAACCAATGAGTGAACTAGTGAGTGAACCAGTGAGTGAACCAGTGAGTGAATCAATGAGTGATCCAGTGAGTGAACCAGTGAGTGAACCAATGAGTGAACTAGTGAGTGAACCAGTGAGTGATCCAGTGAGTGAACCAGTGAGTGAACCAATGAGTGAACTAGTGAGTGATCCAGTGAGTGAACCAGTGAGTGAACTAGTGAGTGAACCAGTGAGTGAACTAGTGAGTGAACTAGTGAGTGAACCAGTGATTGATCCAGTGAGTGAACCAGTGAGTGAACCAATGAGTGAACTAGTGAGTGAACCAGTGAGTGATCCAGTGAGTGAACTAGTGAGTGAACCAGTGAGTGATCCAGTGAGTGAACCAGTGAGTGAACTAGTGAGTGAACCAGTGAGTGAACTAGTGAGTGAACCAATGAGTGAACTAGTGAGTGAACCAATGAGTGAACTAGTGAGTGAACCAGTGAGTGAGCCAGTGAGTGAACCAATGAGTGAACTAGTGAGTGAACCAATGAGTGAACTAGTGAGTGAAACAATGAGTGAACCAGTGAGTGATCCAGTGAGTGAACCAGTGAGTGAACCAATGAGTGAACCAGTGAGTGAACCAGTGAGTGAACCAGTGAGTGAACCAGTGAGTGAAGCAATGAGTGAACCAGTGAGTGAACCAATGAGTGAACTAGTGAGTGAACCAATGAGTGAACCAATTAGTGAACCAGTGAGTGATCCAGTGAGTGATCCAGTGAGTGAACCAGTCAGTGAACCAGTGAGTGAACCAGTGAGTGATCCAGTGAGTGAACCACGCCGCACCTCTCTGGGAATGTGAAACTTGTCCACCACTTTCAGCTCGTAGTACATCTTGATGCCACATTTCACCAGATCCAGCTCCGAGTGCTCAAAGTCGCAGAAGTGAAACTCAAAGATCTCAGCTTTCTTGGAGTTGGGCAGAACCTCTGACTGCAGACAAAAACAGAAGAACTCGTTTATTTCAAACTGAGACAGTTTCCATGATTTGAACTCTATGAGCTCATTTTTTTCTTCTGTGGGATTTTTTTAACACATCTTGTTCTGCAATTTTTGTGCTATTTTAACAATTCACATATCAAAACATTCAACTCCTTCAGGACATTCCAGCTATGACTTTTAGTATTTCAACTAGTTATACCTTTTTAGCTAGTTGACTTTTTCGGCCACATCTTTCCCGTTGAAAATGAATGGAGATGTTTTTAACGTCCTTAAATTCCTTCAAAATGTTTCTAAATCTTTACAGAACTTTACTTCTTCTGGTTCTGCTCTTTGTAACTTCATWGTGCTAATTTTAGCTACTTTTCTGTGTAAATTTTAGCTACTATTTTTGTGCAAATTTTAGCTACTTTTTGCTAATTTTAGCTACTTTTGTGCTAATTTTATCTTTTTCTGTTGTTTCAGCTATAATTCTGCTTCTTTCTGCCATTTTTCTGTTTTTTCTTATTTCTTGCACCTCTTTCTTCTAATTTGAGCTATTTATGCTTTCTGATATTTTCAGCTATTTGCTGCAATTTTAGCTAATGTTCAGCTGTTAGCTAAAGTTAGCTTTTTTAAATTTCACATTTTTGTGTCTATTTCAGATCCTTTTTGCTGAGTTCGGCAAACCTTATGCCTTCTGGCTGGTTCAGGAATTTCCAGCTACATTTCAGCTGCTTTACTTCTCATTTAGGCTGTTTTAGCTATTTTACAACAAATTATCACCGTTTTGTACTTTTATTATTTGTTTTCCACTAATTTGACATTTTTCTACCCATTTTACCGTGGGTGCTAATTTTAACTTGTATCTTTTTTTCTGCAGTTTTATCTGTTTTTCTGCTCCTTTCAGCTGTTTGTCTCTTCAGATAAAGTTTTATATTTTTCTTTCAGCTTTTCAAATTTGAACTCGCAAAATCTGTTTTGATAGAGAACATTTTCAGCTCCATTTCAGCAGCTTTCAGCTAAAGTTTTCAGCAATAAGCATTCACATTAGCATTTTCGCAGGAAATGCAATTTCTCTAGTTATATTTATAACATATATTTTATTGTAGAAGCAAAAGCTGAACATTTCGTTGTTGTTGTTGTTGTTGTTGTTGTTGTTTTACCAGAATCTCCTGGAGTTCCTCCTCCTCACACTCTTCCGGCTCCTTCCCCCACCTCTGTCTGGTGTCCTGCAGAAACACACACCAGAACGTCTCACCTTGGCTGAAGCGGAGCATCAATCAGCCGATCTGAGGTCAAACACGGTCGTGTCTTTCAGCTTTTCTCCTCTCTGTTCACTAACAAATCACCTCGTAGAAACTGACAGCTTATTTCATCTTACAGATGCTGCTGCTCGGCTTTTTTACACCAACTGCATCAAAAAACTGCTTCTGAACTGGTTTGTTTTTACAACACTGAGGTTCTGATTTCTTGTGTGTTTTTAGAAGAAACCTTTGTTTTGCTATATTTTTTATTTATTAGGGCTGCAGCAATCCATGCATCAGTATGGAACCGTGAGGATCAATACATTTATTTTATCAACTTGTCTTCTGAAGATGCTCTGTGTTGAAGGATCAGTGGATCTGTGTTCGACTACTCCACCTAGGCTGCATTGTCGAGCACAGATCCACTGAGAAAATTTAAAAACTGGACTTTTGAGGTTAAATCAGGGGTCTGCAACCTGCGGCTCTGGGGCCGCACGTGGCTCCTTGGTCCCTCTGCAGTGGCTCTTTGAAGATTGGCCAAAAAATAATGAAATTATTATTTTTTATTTGTTTTTTTATACCCACAACAGAAATTATTTGTATTCAAATATGTGATAAATACTACTAATACAAAAGGTAAAACATGTTCATTAGTTCATGCTAGTCTGTTGTTTACTTAAATAATCCAACTTCTTTCAATGATCTTTYTCTCAAATCCATCAGAATTACCTTTAAAGAATTTGAAGACTATATAATAATAAGAATTACAAAAAACACGCCTGAATAGTTCAGTTGTACTAGTTTTTTGAAATTTGGTATAAACTATACACTGTATTTTCTTGTTTACATGAATATAGACTTTTCTTTTGTTCTGATGGGTAAAAATAATAATAAATAATAAAATTCACAATATATTTTTTAGCTTTATGATGTCACCTCCACTGGCCATAAAGATTGCTGAAAAGGCCTCGAAAAGGCCCACGGACCACCAGTTGATAACCACAGTTGTAGCTTGTTTTCGGCTCCAGACTTATTTTATTAGTGCTTCGAGTAGCAGAAATGGCTCTTTTGATCGTAAAGGTYGCAGACCCCTGGGTGAAACAAATGTTTMTARTTAATTTCAATAAATCACATGTTAAGAAGGACATTWCTCTTTTTGTATCAAAAAATATCAAACCATGAGGCTAAAAGATGGAGCAGCTTCTCTCTCAGGGGCCCAAAACAATTTATTTTGCATCCATCAGTTTCTGTAACTTACATGGAACATGAGACAGAACTTGACAAGCTTTACTTTGTTTTTTAATTTTATTTAGGAAACTCAAGAGGCTGGTTTGATGAATCAATCAAACATCAAATCAATAGAACAAAAGTGTTTTTCTTTTAATTAAGCTGAGCTTTAGGCTCACATGGGGAAAAACAAGAAGCTTGAAAATGTTTAAATCTGTGGAGTGGGACTGAAACATAATAACCTTGTATTAATATTTTAAATCCTCCTTTTCTCGACATATAATCAGCATCAGTTTAGCTCCTCATGGAGTCGTTGATCTGTTCAGACTTTTAAATCTGTTTCTTTGTTTTGACTCAGGTACAGAGTGAGATCCAACCGGAGCTTTCGGGTTTTTGTGTTTCTTATTTTAAAACTTCTCACATGTTGTTGGTTATTTTAGTTTGACTGAATTAAAAGGCACTTTTTCCGCGCTGTAGAAGAAAAGAAGCWGATTTCGGTGTTTACCTACTCACCAGAATGTTCTGGATTTCRTCTTTGCGACACTTGACGTGGTACAGAACCATGTCCTGGAAGATGTCCTTCCTGTTCTCCAGCTTGTTCATCTTGTCGTAAGTATCGGTGTTGAGCACAGACCAGCCCAGGAACTGGGTCAGAGACTGGAGAGAAAAAAAAGATAATAAAAATATTTATTCAGATTACAGCAGAGTCTAAATGAACAATCAGTGAAGACAGAAATCAGATGTTTGACAAAACCTTGACCTGATTTATTTTTGTGTAAAAGCAGTTGTTTTGGGGGGCTTTGTTGTTGCTTATTTTTGCATTTATTAATAAGAAAACAACTTTTTGTATGAATTATTAAGACACGATAATGTGACATTTTGGAGAAACAGTAAAGCTTTTATTTTTCTAAATTATATCATTTAAAGCTTTCTAATGAGCAATATTAAACATTCAAACATGTTTACAATGCACTATGTGATAAAGAAAAAATCCTAAAGATTGTTGAACTTGACTTAAGTCAAATAAGTTAATAACAAGGTAATAACAGCTGAGRATCAGGGGYRGTTCTAGGGGCGGGGCCACAGGGGCATTAGCCCCAGCTGAAATCTGATTTTGGCCCCCTGAAGTGCCCCTGTCCTGTCACTCATCTGTCCTTTACCTGGGAGTGATGATGGTGGATGCAGTTCCATGTTCAAACACTAGAGGCACTAATGAGTCAAACAGTAAAGTCTAAAATGAATCAAGCTGACAGAATTCTTCTTCTCTTCTTAAAAATGTGAACAATCCCGCAAAAAAGTCTTTCAACTGACAAATGACGGCTGGATTTTCTCACGTGTTGTGTGTTTGAAAATATTTCATCTATGTTCAGTAAAATGTGTGAAAAACTGGTGAGGAGAATTTACTGTGCAAGATTTTTGGTACCACTTTACAATCAAGCTCCTCTTATAGATGACTTATAAAGAGTTTATCGATAGGTTATTAATTCATTTGTAAAGTTTACACTTCATAAATCATTAACAGATGAAACTGGACAATTTTGTCTCTTTCTCGTCCTTAATTATTGCATAATAAACACATATTAATCATTTTTAAAGTGTTTACAGATTAATTAATAACCTATCTATAAACTCTTTAAAAGCCATCTATAAGGGGGCCTTATTGTAAGGTGGTACCTTTTTTTTTTAAATTACATTAATTACAAGTGTTTGAAGTGTAAAATGTATACACTGGGAATTTGTGTGAAAGGATGTTGAACAAAGACTTGGCACCTCTATGAATATGGTGGCCCCTTGATGGCCCCTGACTCAGAAAAATCCTAGATCCGCCCCTGATGCAGTAGAGCTGCCATGTTTTGTGTTCAGAGCAGAAAAAAGACTTCAGGTCCAGACATAAATAATGCAGAGACTCTGAATGGTCTGTAGTGTATTTATAAACCACACACACACACACACACACACACACACACACACACACACACACACACACACACACACAC